TAACTATTCATAGCAAAAGGTAAAGTAGTAATGACAAACATAGGAAGACCAATCATATTACTAAAAAGAAATGAATAATAATGCTAATCTGATTAATCAGTAGAACAAACTATTAAGAAGAGGAGGGGGAGGGGGATGAGGACTAGGAGGAAGGAGGAGGATGAGGCGAAGGAGAATGATGATGATGACGACGACGATGATGATGATGATGATGATGATGATGATGATGATGATGATGATGATGATGAGGATGAGGATGAGGATGAGGATGAGGATGATGATGACGATGCTGATGCTGATGCTGATGCTGATGATGATGATGATGATGATGATGATGATGATGATGATGATGATGCTGGTGATGATGATGATGAGGAGGAGGCAGAGGCGGAGGAGGGTAAGCCTACGACGCGTCAGCGATGTGGCAATCAACCCTGCCTCCAAGTTCTCTCCTTCACAAGTCCCTGCAATAAGTAAGTGCCGTTGCGGGAAGTGTCTCATTGGAAGACACCAGTCCGAGTGTACCCAATCGTGCCAAAACGCGTCTCCTTGGATTTCAATGCCGCGAACCAACATAATTGTTGCGTCCTGGCCATCCTAAGGCGTTCCAGGACGCCACTCCTGGGACTTCAACACTGCGAATCTCCGTGACTGTTGCGTTCTGGCGATCCTACATTGTGGCAGAACGCGATTCCTGGGACTTCAGCCGTACGAGTTCTTGAGCTCGTTGCAAACTTTGAGGCGAATGCGCGCGGCGCTAAGTCGGGAGACACATTTTGAACAACAGCCGCCCTTCGTCCTCGACGCCGTGACGAACTCTTCCGACTGTTGCGCGCGGCGCTCGGGCGACGGCCACACTTTGAAAGCCGCCCGCATCCGTGAACCTGTTGCGAATGTCAAGCTCCGTGGTCATGAGTGGTGAGGAGGTCTCCGGCGAAACACCCAGCCCGCCTCACCGACGAGTCTGGGGGTGCGACAGGGAAGGAAAAGGATTGAGGAGGAGGAGGAGGAGGGAGGGATGGAGGGAGGGAGGGAGGGAGTGCGGGATGACGGGCGGGCGGGTGGGAGGGACGGGGAGGAATGGGGGAGATGGAAGACGGGAGGAGGAGGAGGCGGAGGAGGAGGAGGAGGAGGAGGAGGAGAAGGAGGAGGAGGAGTAGGGCGAGGGGAGGGTTCTGAGGGTCCTGATGATGCGGGCCGTCAGTTGGCTCCTCGTACGCTGGTGACGACGGAGGGGCTCAGCCTATGCTGGCCTCCTCCTTCCAAAAAGTGTCGACTACCTCATCACGCTGGCGTTCGGTCCTCTCCCATTCCATGAGCGCCCCAGGACAATGCAGGAGACGTCAAAACAGGGCACGCTCACCAAGCCAAAGCTCCGCTCCGTAGCCGCGTCGGCCGAAGCGGATGACTCTACAGCCAGGCTGTCCGGTTCCACCCGCACTGAATCAAGGGACTCTGGACAGCCTTGATCTCAACCGACGGTCCGACGTCAGGGCCGATGGTGGCCCTTCCCAAATTGTGGGCGTAAAACAGGCCACGGCGTAGCCTTGAGGGTTGTGTCGTGACACCTGGACGGTCTGGGCCGCGACACTCTGCCCAGAGGATCCGTGCACCGATGCCTCGCAGATCTCGCGGACAAGTAGATCGGAGAGCGCCTCTCCCGACTCAGCCGACCAAATAATGTCGACAGAAGGTGCACGGTGCCATGGCTGAAGCAAGGAAGTTTTGAGGAGAAGCAGGAGGCGTAGTCGGAGCGAGGGGAGGCCTCGATGTGCCCTCGGCGCCAGGATCCCGCTCGAATGGTTGCACGCCTTCCTGCTGGCAGGCTTCGAAAAGGGACTTGGAATATTCATCGGATTCATCGTCGAATTGAGAGTCAGCGGTGCCCACAATACTATCTGAATCGGGCTGCTCCCAGGATCCGAAAGCAGCCTTCTGCTCGGCCATTCCACGCAGCACAGTCTCTAGCAATTCGGTCGAGACGCGCAGGGGTCAGTGCCCAGGGATCCCCCAGAGCAGGGCGCCTTTCTTAGCGCGCTTGTCTGCCACCTTAGTGTAATGGCCTCAGGCCAGTGCCGCCGATCCGGGGGGCTCTGGATTCGGTGATCTTCGCGGCTCTGTGGCCTCCTCCCTCCTCGAATCCTTCCGGTCCTCTTTCTTCTCCTCTCTTAGCGCACTCGTCTGCCACCTTACTTCCGCGAGCAGTCCACGCCGGGATGATTTGTGCGGTCGCGTCCGAAGTTCGGGAATTCGCTTTCTGCTCTTGGGCCTGGCGGCCAATAGGTCAGACCACCACTCTCTCTCCAGAGGTGCTGCCCGGGATTTTTCACGTCTGATAGGCCTTCTCCTGCGTTGGTGGCGCGCCTTTGGCCCAGAGGCAAGCGCACAAGACCTTTAGGTTTTTTTTCAG